AGATTGCTGAGCCAGGAGTTTGAGGTTGCTATGAGCTAGGCTGAAGCCATGGCACTCTAGCCTGGGCAACAGAATGAGATTCTGTCTCAAAAAAAAAGTTATTTATTAGCTCTGTTACAATGCATTGCCCACAGCACCAGGGGATAAAAAAAAGACGTATACATACAATTTACCATCTAGGGTGAAGGGAAACTCCCACAGCTTAAGGATTTTTTTCAGTATATTATGGGGTACAAATGTTAAGGTTATGCTATTACCCTTGCCCCCCTCCCTTCCAGCTTAAGATCTTAATAAGCTAAGGTACAAAGTGCTATGAGAATCCAAGAGAAAGTGGCCTCCTCAAATTGAGGCCATGACCTTATGGAGGAGGTGACATTTGGGAGTTATTCGATGGCTGGGTTTCAAGATGAGAGATGGCATTCAGGACTGCTAAGAAAGAACCCAGCCTGAGCAAAAGGAATAAGTTCACAGTGGCTCTGGAATACCAAGTATGAAGGGGCTAGAGTACACAGACCAGGGAGGAGGGTAAGGAAAGCCCCAGATGCAAAAGATCTTAGGAAACAGCATTATATAGTGAGTGAAAAGAGAACTGGGATGGTCAACCATTCTGAGCTCCTATTCTGTCACCTGCAAATGAAGAACTTTAACTAGATGGGGGGATGGGTGTTTGTTTTGTGTTTTTAAAACATGGGATCTCACTCGTCACCCAGACTAGAGGGCAGTGACCTATCATAGGACACTGCAGCCTGGAACTCCTGGGCTCAAAGGATCCTACTGCCTCAGCCTCCCAAGTTGTGGGAACTACAGGTGTGTGCCACCAAACCTGGCTAAAATAACAGTTTCAATGTTTTTTCCATTCAGCACACACAAGGAATTCAACACTCTGCTACAATGGGTCATTTCAACAGTGATTCTTGCAGAATAATGGAATAGGTATTATTCTCACATCTTTCTCCTGCCTCAGCCTCCCAAGTAGCTGGGACTACAGGCATGCGCCACCATGCCCGGCTAATTTTTTCTATATAGTTTTAGTTGGCCAATTAATTTCTATCTATTTTTAGTAGAGATGGGCATCTCACTCTTGCTCAGGCTAGTCTCGAACTCCCGAGCTTAAATGATCCGCCCACCTTTGTCTCCCAGAGTGCTAGGATTACAGGAATGAGCCACTGCACCTGGCTGACTTTTAATTGAATTCTTCAATCAGTTGAATGGGCACATGATAGCAATAACACCTGACCAGCCTACCAGAGAATACGATGTAGTAATAAAATGAGGCAATAAATATGAAGCAAATTCTGACAATTTTTAAAGGGGACACGTTAGAGAAAGCAGTCTGGGAGCTGATTCACATTTGAAATATTTGGGAAATATTTGATTATTAATACTTTTTTCCCTGGAGACTCCCAGTGTTAGAGGAAATAATCTTTGTTTTCAGTTTTGTGAAGAGCTATCAGGTGGAAAACATTCTGTATTGCTCCATGCAGCAAAAGTACTACCAATGGAAGGAAGTGAATTTCTGCTCAGCAGGAGGCAGAACTTTCTAATATTTAGAGCTGTCCAACAGTGGAGCAGGCCGCAATACTGTAGGTATTGAGCTCCCTGAAATTTAAACTGTTGAAATAAAAGATGACCATCTGGCTGAATGTACAAGAGGGAATTCCTGCCTGGGAGGGAGTTGCAATAATGACCTTTAAGATATCTTTCAAATTTAAGGTTGCTATGACTGTTCATCTCAGCTAACTGGACCTCTGAATATATGAGTTATTTTGTAAAAACAACAAAACAAAACAAAAACCCCAAAAGATAAATTGTTAATTTATTTAAAATAACTGTATGGTCAATCAAATTTACAATAAGTAAAATAAGAATTTACAATGGTAAAATAAGAAGTGGGAAACTAGGTTTAATACTGAAAATCCAGCTACATCCAAATCAATTAACAGAAAGGGCCGGGCGCAGTGGCTCACGCCTGTAATCCTAGCACTCTGGGAGGCCAAGGCAGCCGGATTGCTCGAGGTCAGGATTTCGAAACCAGCCTGAGTAAGAGCGAGACCCATCTCTACTATAAATAGAAAGAAATTAATTCTACATATATATATATGTAGAAAAAATTAGCCGGGCATGGTGGCGCATGCCTATAGTCCCAGCTACTTTGGGAGGCTGAGGCAGGAGGATTGCTTGAGCCCAGGAGTTTGAGGTTACTGTGAGCTAGGCTGACGCCAAGGCACTCACTCTAGCCTGGGCAACAAAGTGAGACTCTGTCTCAAAAAAAAAACAAACCCAGAAAGGGAGGGGAGGTTTGTGAGGCATGTGTTTGTGTGAGGCATTCGAATAACGTGTCCCAAGCAAGGGAGAATTTTTATAGAAAACCTAAGATGCTCTAAATTTTTACTTTACACATACTTGTTCACGCGGACTTTCACATTCAGCTGCACCTCTGTATGCAGAAGCGAGGGCCCAGGTTCCGTGGACAATTTCCGGGAAGGCAGTTCCGGATCCAGACACCGGCGACTGCTGCAGACAGCAGCTGACTCGGCCGCCCGCGGCGGAAGAGGGAGCCTCGGGCCGCCCAGACCGAACTACCGGTCCCAGGGTCCCCCGCGGCGCCGCGCACGCGCGCTGGAGTGGCGGCAGCGCCGCTGCAGGACGCAGGGAAGCCAACTAGCGAGTGGCGAAGGTGGCTGTGGCGGCGGCGGCGGCGGCGGCGGCGGTGGTAGTTTGCGGCGAGGGCGAGGGCGACGGCTTGGAGGCCGAGTGGCAGTCTGGAGGAATCCTTCGTGTCGTCGCCCGCATGAGCCCCTTGGTGAGTGTGCGTCCCAGGTTAACCCGCGCGGAGCGCGCGGCTGCCTGCCTAGGGGCCCGACTGCTCTGGCCTAGGGCCGCAGCCTGCGCCTGACGGCCGGGTCGCCGGGTCCAACTGACCCCTGGGCCTTGGGCCCATCCCATGAGTGTCGGGCGAGCGGGGAAGGGAGGACACACGGTTAGGCCCAGGGGAGAGACGTGGCGGTGCGCTGGAGCTAGGGCGGCCTGGGGCTGACAAGAGGGAGGGACGCGTGGGGGATGGGGTGGGAAGAGACTGGAGGACCGCGGGGCGGCTTCGCGTTGAAGCTAGAGGCCAGCACCCAGCAGGTAGGGAACTAAGTATAGGAGGTGAGAGGAGATGGAATGTCTTCTGAATGCCGCTGGTGAAGATGTCGTGCTTCCGGGAAGCTCGGCAAGCTGGACACGGGTCTGGGGGCAGCCCACCTACTGTAAACACACACACTGTACTTGGCATCCTTCCACTTGCTGTTGGAGGTCTGGAAGTGAGGGACTGTTGGTTGTTTCCATCCCTTTTCCTTCAACTTCAGCTTTTACTGCCTGGCACAATTGTGATTGCTGTTAGCTAGACAAACCACAGAAATACACACTAGGTTCAGTGTGTATATGTCTGCATGAAAACGGAGACAGGGTGGTATATTCAGATGAGAGCTAGATCAAAGGAGGAATCAGTGTTGTTATTTTTAAATTTATCACGCACAAAAAAGTTTGAGCAGGGCTTTGAACTAGAGAGGATTTTTAACCTGGAGTTCACCGTTGGACAGAATGTGTATAGAATTCAAGGGGTCCTTTAACTAGAATGGGGATAAAATGACATTATTTTTATTAAACATGAACTGAAATTATTTCCTTAATTATGAACGTAGGCATCAAACAACAGTAGAGTTTTAGAAGTAGAAATCTGTGACTTCGTCATCTATAAAAATTACGGATTTTGTGTGTGTGTGTGTGTGTGTGAGAGAGAGAGACAAGGTCTCACTGTGTCACCCAGGCTGATGCACAGTGGCATCATCATTGCTCACTGCAGCCTCCAACTCCTGGGCTTAAGTGATCCTCCTGCCTCAGCCTCCTAAGTAGCTGGGACTACAGCTGGTGCCACCACACCCAGCTAATATTTAAAATTTTTTAGAGATGGGGGGTCTTACTATTGCCCAGGCTGGTCTTGAATTCCTGGCCTCAAGCAATCCTCCTGCCTTGGCTTCCCAAAGTGCCAGGATTACAGGTGTGAGACACTCATCTGACCAGAAATTATGGATGTTTTTGTGTCAGGTTTATAGTTTATAGTTGTTTCAGATAGCTCAAAATATCACATATGCTTATCACTTATTTGAATTTATGGTGTTACTAGATATGCTGTTAGATCTTGTTATTTAATAATAAAGCTGCACATATATTACCATATCAGCTTTTTTTATTGTTTGCTAGAATTTCAGTGTAATGGGTTTCTTTTGTAATCTCATATATTTAATTATGCCTTTAGAAGCAATCTGAGAAGGAGACCATAGGCTTCACTAGACTGCCAAAGAGGTATATGACACAAAAAGATTAAGAACTCCTACAATAGAAATGTCTTTTTGGATCTATAAGTCTGTTGGAAGACTATGTGAATCATTAGGTAAGAAAGAAGACAAGGCAGACAGGATGATGGTATAGATGAAAGGGAATTTTATAATCAGAAAGGTAAAAGATTTGGATGGGATCAGAGTTGTAGGTTTGAAAGATAGAATAGACCACAAATATTTAATTCAGCATACAGGAATCAACAAAATTTGATAATCTGAGGAAGAAAAGAAAAGGAAGTCAGTATGTTGGCCTTTAGATTTATGTATTAAGGCACCTCCCTAGTTCCAAGTGATTGAAGCTCTTTGTAAGTTTGTGAAAGGAAATTTTAGTGTTTGCTGATTTTCTTTAAATGGTTTGGTTTTAAACAGAGCTATCCTAATTTTCCTCTTTAAGTGAAGAACACCAGGCTCTCTCTTTAAATATATTTTCCTATTATCCTTTTACATATGATAGAAAGTAAACATACAGATTATAGAGTTGGAGAGTTAGGTCATTTTCTTGAAACTCCATTTCAAATTCTTATAGTTCAGTTTCATTCTGGCATTAGTCTTCTCACTGACAAATCAGTTAATTTTTGTTTCAGAATATGTGTAGCTTGAAATTTGCACCTGTTTGTAAAGGACCTGTCAACATCTTGTGTGAGATGTTTTCCCTGCCTCTGAAAGAATAGCAATAGGCTGGGTGCTGTGGCTCACACTCCCCTGTCCCTTTATTTTCTTTATAGCATGTTTCTATCTGGTGTTATGTTACTTGTATGTATATTTATTGTTTTAGTCTTTTTGTTTCCTACTTGAATGTCAGGTCCATGACAATAGGGACTGTCTTTACCACTGTGCCAGAATAGGGGCTGGCACATAATGGGTGCTCAGTAAATGCTTGCTGAATTAATAAATGAGTGAGTTAATTTATAGGAGCTAGGTTTTTTATTTCTAGCAACAAAGTATACCCATTTATTTTATTTTACTTTTTTATGTTCTAGAGGAAGTGGAATGGGATATTACCCATGAGTGGAGAAAGAATAAGCATACCCATTTTTTAAAATCTTGCAAATAGTATTATGCACTCTGAGTTGAATTTCATCTTACCTTTATTTTATTTTTTTGTGACATGGTCTCGCTCTGTTGCCCAGCCTGGAGTGCAGTGGTGTGATCATAGCTAACTGCAACCTCAAACTTCTGGGCTCAAGCAATCTTCCTGCCTCAGCCTCCTGAGTAGGTGGGACTGCACCACACCAAGCTAATTGCCACTGTGCCTGGCCTTTTTTTTTTTTTAACAGGCAGGGTCTCGCTCTGTTGCCCAGGCTGGAGTGCAGTGATGTGATCATAGCTCACTGTAGCCTTGAGCTCTTGGGCTCATCATCTTATATTTTTTAAAAGATAGGAAGTTATTTCCCAAACATTCTGTAGTGCTTTTGTGGGCATTTGGTTTCATATGGGGACTAATTATAGTACATGCTGCCATGTAGGTTTTGATTATACTTAACTTTTTTTTTTTTGAGACAGAGTCTTGCTCTGTCATGTAGGCTAAAGTGTCTTGGTGTCAGCCTCAACAGCAACCTCAAACTCCTGGGCTCAAGTGATCCTCTTGCCTCAGCCTCCTAAGTAGCTGGGACTACAGGCACGAACCACTGTGCCTGACTAATTTTTCAATTTTTAGTAGAGGATCTTGCTCAGGCTGGTCTCAACCTCCTGACCTCAAGCAGTGCTTCTGTCTCAGCCTTCCAGAGTGCGAGGATTTAGGCATGAGCCAACGTGCCCGGCCTATACTTAACTTTCCATAATGATGTAATAAAGGGGAAAGGTCTGTAGGTGAAGTTCTTCTTTTGCTGGAGTTCTTTAACTATGTGATCCTAGGTTGATTGTTTTATTTCTTAGTTACTCTCTTATTCAGTATGTTGAGGGCCACAGATTTGCTTCTGTCAAAAAGAAAAACAAATAGCTCTAGAAGGGACACTTATGCTAGTATTAGTATTGATTTATAATCAATGTAATTGACTAGTAATCAAGGAAATACAAGTTAAAATAAGTTGATACAGCATTTTTCACATCAGATTGATAACAAATTTTGATGTCACAATATCAAATATTTGGTGAAGGTATGGCAAAAATGGTAATTGTAGAAACTGCTGGTGGAGTGTAAATTTGTACAGCTATTTTTGGAGAAAGTATTTGCAATACTTAGTAAAGTTGAAAATAGGTATAACCTACCCCATAATTTTACATCTGTAAGGGAATAAGAATAGGGGGTGGTAGCAGAGGTGATTTTGTTTTTTAAAGGCTAGATGCAGTTATAACAGTGTGAACTGTTAATTCTGGGAGGCAGAATACAAGTGCTAAATTATCTCTTGTGCCTTTCCCTTTCCCTGTTTTCTGCTGTGGTTTTGTTTTGTTCTTTTTTTCAATCTATAACTTTTAAATGGTTTGTTTTAACTTAAAAAAGGGTTGTTTCCCAACCCTTTGAAAAATTGTAAGCCTACAGAAGTCCTGTTCAATAAACACCCATTTATCCTTTACCTAGATTCGGTAATTGTTAACATTTTGCCATGTTTACACATAGAAGACACACATTTTTTACTGAACCATTTGCGAGTTAGGTATGGATACTGTCAGGGCTCTTTAACCCCAAAATTTTTAGCATGCATTTCCCAAGAACAAAAACATGGACTTACAGCTCCGTTGTTACACTCAAGATATTTAAAATGGATATATTATCATTATTTAATGCATGGTCCATTTCCTTACTTGTCCCAATGCTGTCCTTAGTTTTGTTTTTAATTACTGTTTTCATCCAGGATCCTGTTAAGGATCTTGCATTAAATTTAGTTGTCTCCTTGATTCTGGAACTTTTTCCAGCCTTAAGTGGTTTTCTTATGACAGTAACATTTGTAAAGCATTTAGACCAATTGTTTTGTAGAATGCCCCTGTATTTGATTTGTTTGAACATTCCTTCTTGGTTAGATTCAGATTAAGCATTTTGGCTGGAATGCTACATAGGGTGATTTTAGGCCCTCTCAAGATATCAGGTATCACATCAGAGGGACATGATGCCAGTTTTATGATCAATGTAAATTTGATCATTTGGTAATATCCACTAGATTTCTACTGTAAAGTTTCCTTTTTCCTTTTTAATTAATACATAATATGTGGAGTGATAATCTATTTTCTTAAAAGTCATGATTTCTTAATAGAGGTACCTGTATAAAGAGTCAAGAAAATATAGATTGGCTATATTGCTTCTAAACAGGAGTGTGGAGGGGAGTGTCAAGGAATGCTATGTGGAGGAGATGGCATTTGAACTGGGCCTTGAATCACAGATGTATTTTGGTTATAGGGATATTGGAAGGCTCCAAGTGGTGAGAACAAGTTGAACAAAGACAAGGACAGAGGAATTTGTAAATAGAATGGGAGAACATCCAGGTCTTTTGGGGGCGCTAATATGTTACATCTGTGAAAAGGGAAAATGGGAGAAAAGATTGTAAAGGTACTTTGGAATGAAAAAAGCCTGAATGGTCATGGTGGCATGTGCCTGTAGTCCCAGCTACTCAGGAGGCTGAGGCAGAAGGATTGCTTTGAGCCCAGGAATTCAAAAGAAAAAAAGGTTGAAAAATGTGGGCTACTCAGCTGCTTTCTCCATTATAACCAGCAGTTCATTGTGGAACGATGTAAGATGGCTTATTTGCCTCATTTTTGGATCATCACTCTTCCATTACAGTAAGTTGCCCACATGGAACCTAAAGTCAGTATCCTTCAGAAGACCCAGAGAAGCAGAGTATGGGCTCTGGAATCAAACAAATCTAAGTTTGAATCCCTTCTCTGCTGCATAATAGCTGAATAATCAGGCAGTAAGTTATTTGGCTTTTCTGAACCTTTCCCTTCATCTGTAAAATGGAGGTGATAACTAGGCACAGTGGGATGTGGTTATTATTCCCAGCTTCTTGGGAGGCTGAGGCAGGAAGATGGCTTGAGCTCTGAGAGTTTAAGTCTAGCCTGCGTGACAGAGTGAAACCTTTGTTTCTTAAAAAAAAAAAAAAAAGGAAGTGATAAATATCTATCATTTTCATTTTTATTAAAAACTTTTTTTTTTACATACTCGGTCTCACTCTCTTGCCCAGGCTGGCGTGCAGAGACATGATCATAGCTTATTGCATCCTTGAACTCCTGGGTTCAAGCAATCCTTCTGCCCCAGCTGCCTGAGTAGCTGAGACTACAGGTGGGCTACCATGCCTGGGTAGTTTTTAAAAATTTTTTGAGGCTGGTCTCAAACTCCTGGCCTCAAGCATTTCTCCTCCCTCACCCTCACAAGTAGCTGGGATTACAGGTGTGAACCACTTTGTCTGGCCCTGTCATCTGGGATTAACCCTAATGATAACATAGGGAAAGCATCAGGAACATGGCTTCCACTCATTAATTGATAGTCATCTTTTGGTGCCCCACCTCTCAATCTTTCACTCTTTCCCACCTTGGTACCACATCCCAGACTTTAAAATAAGCTCTATTCTTCTGGTGCCTTTTTGGCGTCTCACAATGCTGTTACCTCCCACTTCATGCAGCTGGCTCCATTGCAGGTTTCTGAGCTGCTCCCCAGTGATGGCACATAGCACTTACCACTTTACAAAGTGATACTGCCTGATAATGGCATTCTGGAAATTGTGACATTATGTAATAACTTTTTGTTGGTACAACTAACAGTACAAAATTTACTATTCTTTAAATGTGATGTGCTTCAGATTAATTAATTTGGAAAAATTACCCCTAATGTTTGCAGAAAGTTTAAAAGGAAAAGTAGATACATTCTACTGGTAAGACATTTACTTTATTCTTTTTCTTTTCTCTTTTTTTTCCCTTAGGAGTGAGTGTATCGGGGAGAGCTGGTTACACATTGTAGGAATTTCAAAGGTAAAGTATAATTTTTTTTTCCCCAAAGCCTGAGATAAGTGGTGGAATCCCTCCTACTTGCTTTGGAAAGACATTAGTACTTAGAAAAAAATTCTCAAATGGTTAACTAAATATTTTTTTCCCTTCAACTTTGTGGAGCCTTTCTCTTTTTACTACACATATTTCATTTTTTGGAATTAATTTTTACTTAGGCAAGAAGGATTTGAGTTACATATTTTTTACATTTGAATTGCCTAAACTTGTGTTTGCATAGAATTGTTTGTAACTTTAGCTCCTTAAGTAATCCTTTTCAAGATGTTTTAATTCGTAAAAAAACTAGGTTAGGACCGGTAATTTCTGTATTGTATACACATTTTAGAAGTTTTAGGCATCGAGCTGTTTGATTTCTATTTCATAAGATTATAGGTAATTAAAATTTCCTTCTTTATTCTTACCTATATTTTGTAATCTTTCTGGATATGTTTCAATATGTATTGTGAATTTGTAAAAGTATCTTCGGAAAGGCAGTTCTTTTTTGTTACTAAGCTGAAACTCTGCAATGTAATGGTCAGAGGAAGTGGTAAATATCTGTTGATCCTTTAATTTCTCATATTTAATGTATATAAATAAATGGTTGAGTGAATATTTGAAGGAAGAAAGCAGACTTTATAGGAATCTCTAATTTTTTTTAGTTTGAAGATGAACTAGATATCTGATAAGTACTTATATTTGAAAGAAAAGTATAATTTAATATGGCAAATTGTTTTTATATACCTTTTTTGTAAGTCATTTAAAAAATACAAGGCTTTAAGCTTATTCTTGTAGGAGTGAACACAGGCACGCTGTATGTCTGCAGGTTAATCTAAGATGTCTGTCCGAAAAGGTGCTTGCTGGGTCTTGCTCCCAAATAATGCCAGCCCACCCACACTGGAGACTAGTGGAAAGCATGTTGTCAAACGTGTTCAGTTCTTTTTCTTTCTTGCTAATTTATAGTTTGTTAGTTATTTTCTGTGAATCTTTGAAAGGGTTAAACCATAGTTTTTCTATTGGAAAATTTAAAAAACAAAAATATTACTCAAAGTATTTCAGCCTTTTTCCTTTTTCAGGAGTAGAATCAAATATTGCCCTCCAAAGCAATCTTAATTTTGACCAAATACTTGTATTTTTTTGTTTTTAGAACTTAGGCTAAATTCATCTATTTTCAACCTACTCTGAAGTGTCTCCTTTCACTTTCTAATGCTGAACTCTGGTCAATTCCTTGATTTTACTTCCTTTGTAAAACTTGACTACCTTATAAAACTACAGTAGGTCTAAAAGTCATAGCACTTAAGGCTGAATTGCCAAATGTTTACAAATATAGGTTTCTGTACCAGGAAAACTTAAGAAAGAATAGATGAATCCTTTCTGCAGAAATTATTACCTCTTTGGTACCTCCTTTATAATCCAAGGAATCTACATTTGAGTCCTCTAAAACAGAGTGCCTTTTATTATTTATTTATTTATTGAGATAGAGTCTCACTCTGTTGCCCTGACTAGAGCGCCATGGTGTCAGCCTAGCTCACAGCAACCTCAAACTCCTGGGTTTGATCCTCCTGCCTCAGCCTCCTGGGGAGCTGGGACTACAGGCATGGGCCACCATGCCTGGCTAATTTTTTCTATATATTTTTAGTTGACCAATTAATTTCTTTCTATTTTTAGTAGAGACCGGGTCTCGCTCTTGCTCAGGCTGGTTTTGAACTCCTGACCTTGAGCGATCCTCCCGCCTTGGCCTCCCAGAGTGCTAGGATTACAGGCTGAGCCACCACGCCCAGCCCAGAGTGCCTTTTAATATCTAACTCTTCAAGGTTGTGATGGGCCAACTTGGATTCTGACAGAGAGTGACTTATTAAGCCTCTGTGTGAATAAGTTTCTGTTCTATCATTTCAGAACATTATCATAATAATAGGAATGGTAATAGCTAACATTTATTGGCTTCTTTCTCTTTTTCTTAGACACTATATAAACTATTTGAAATTACAAATTTCATAATTCTATTGAGACATCTTAATGGTTGATTTCTTTTTGAAAAACTACTTTAGCTAGATGATATTTTATTGTGGTCTAGGAGGTTTCTTTGGGGTAGAGCAAAGTTAATGGTAGTAATGTTCAAAGTTTGATAATGAATATTTATAATTTTTATGAAATACCATTCTGGTTAATGTGATGAAATATACATCCCAGTCTGCTGTTTATGTGCTTTCTTTAATTTTGAGGGTGGACTCTTGGATCTTAAAACAGGCTTTACCAGTATTACAGCTCAGCAAAAATGCAGCTGAAGCTCAGAGTTCTCTTTTTGCTCCTTCATTTGGTTGTTTTGCACACCCACTGTTTTTATGGAAGAAGCTAAATTTATCTAGGGGACCAGAGCTTCCTCAAAACATGTGGGTGGTGAAATCTTCCTCTCAAGTTTGCAGAAGGTTCTAAGGATTTTAGATTGTTCTTAGTTACTTGATTTATCTTCATCTTGAGATTTATACGAGGTATATATCTAATAGAGTTGTCATTAGAGATTGCTGAATTGGAGGAAATTAGATTTTATTTCAGACTAATAAAATTAATGGAGGTTTATTTGATACCTATTTCTAGATTGGGTGGATATTTTTGTGTCATTTGTTTCCTCTAGGAAATAAAGGGATATCATTTTAATGCCATTGTAGTTTGCTTATTGGTGTATAGCCTGTTATTGTTGAACTGTGTCTTATTTGGAAATTAAGTATGTCCTTTTGCTGCTTGAAAATTTTCACATTTTTATTATGTTATTATTCACAGAATTTGTCTGGTCCTGAGTGTTTCAGTAATTGTACTAGCAGATCTTCAGCAGGAAAGATCTTAGTGCCAAATTTTTGTTATTTTTTCTTTCTTTTTTAAATTATTAAAGTAATACATGTTCTTTGTTTAAAAAAACCAAAAATAATGACAAAAATGAAAGTTTTTCTTCTCCACATATACATGCACAAACTGTTTGATTTGAATGTTTACCCTAAATTATAGTTAACATTATGTGTGCTTGCTAATGCTTTGTACATTTTCACTCATTTAACTATTATAATCCTGTGAACATACCCTATGAAGTAAGTTCTTTTATATCCATTTGCAGATGAAGAAACTGAGACATAGAGCAGTAAAGTAGCCGAAGATTGCACAGCTAGTGAATGGCAAAGTTGAGACTTGAGCCCAGGTAGTCTTGCTGCAAAGTTTGTGTTTTAACCCCAGTACTGCCTCCAGGATCTTACTATGCGTGTTGTTCTACAGTTTGCTTTTTTCACTTAATGATGTGTAATGGACATCTTTCTATGTAATTCTGTCTCCTTAATAACTATGGAGTATAACGTGGTTTGGATATACCATAACTTGTTTAACTTAATGCCTTTCTTTTTTTTTTGAGACAGAGTCTCATTCTTGTTGCCCCGGGTAGAGTGCCGTGGCATCAGCCTAGCTCACAGCAACCTCAAACTCCTGGGCTCAAGTGATCCTCCTGCCTCAACCTCCTGAGTAGCTGGGACTACAGGCATGCGCCACCATGCCCGGCTAATTTTTTCTATATATTTTTAGTTGGCCAATTAATTTCTTTCTATTTTTAGTAAAGATGGGGTCTTGCTCTTGCTCAGGCTGGTCTTAAACTTCTGAGCTCAAACGATCCACCTGCCTTGGCCTCCCAGAGTGATAGGATTACAGGAGTGAGCCATTGCGTCTGGCCAAACTTAATGCCTTTCAAACTTAATCTTTTATTTTTATTTATTTATTTTTTGTTTGTTTTTAAATCTTTAGCCAAACAAGTTACAGAATATATTTTTAGTTTTGAGCAGAATCTCTCTCTGTTGCCCCAGGTAGAGTCCAGTGATGTGATCATAGCTCACTGCAACCTCAAACTCCTGGGCTCAAGTGATCCTTCCGCCTCAGCCTCCCAAGTAGCTGGGGCTACAGGTGCATGCCACACCACCCAGCTAAATTTTCTATTTTTAGTAGAGACGGAGTCTCACTCTTGCTTAAGCTGGTCTCAAACTCCTGAGCTCAAGGAATCATCCTACCTTGGCTTCCCAGAGTGCTAAGACTACAGGTGTGAGCCACCACACCCAGCCCCCTTATTCTTGTTTAATATTACCAATCCCAGTAGTAATGATTTCAAATAATATAAAAAGTCAAGATTTTTGAATTGGAATAGTGAGGAAACATTTGTATTTTCTAAGTAACTAAGTAATGCGTATTAGCTGTTCACATGTTTTGATATTGTCTCAGTTCAGCTGTTTGATAAAATCTGAGCTTAACCCACAAACTATTATGAATGAGTTTCTTTTTCTTTTTTATTGAGACAGAGTCTTGCTCTGTTGCTCCGGGTAGAGTGCATTGATGTCATCATAGCTCACTGCAACCTCTAACCTCTGAACTCAAGAAATCCTTCTGTCTCAGTGTCCCAACTAGCTGGGACTATAGGCACATGCCATGACACCCAGCTAATTTTTCCATTTTTAGTAGAGATGAGTCTGGCTCTTTATTCAGGCTGGTCTTGAACTCCTGAGCTCAAGCAGTCCGCCTCCCTTGGCCTCGCAGAGTGCTAGGATCACAGGTGTGAGCCACTGCGCCTGGCTCAAGTTCCATTATTTTTGTGGTTAGTCTGTCTTCTTTAGCTCTGGAAAATTAATGTAATGGGGGTAAAATCAGTGATCTGTTTGGAAATTATTTGTTTTCTTCTAGTATGGTCTGGATTTCCTATGTCATCACAAGCAGTGTGTTGTAGTATTAATTTGAATTCTAAATACTATCTGGCATTATGTTACTTGTATCTGCAAAGTAATGTGCCTTTCAATTCCTTGTACTTGTGCCAGGTGGGAATAGTTGGTACTAAGTTCATTCTTTTTACCGCAGTGTTTTACTGTTATATTTGTTATATTTCAAATATACCAATTAAAGAAAGAAATTAAAGTATCACGTGCTTCAATTTTTTTCCTCAGTAATGTTCATTTCTCAATTGTGAAGAACTGTCTTTTCTGGCACATTAATAATTCTTTCAGATATGCTCGTTAGAAAGTTAGAAGTTATTTTCAATTTAAAGTTAGTTACTGTTTTTTAATCATTTTGGAACTGAGCAGCAGCTTGGCTGATTCCTAACTGGAGCATTGCTCTTCATCATTCAGTCACTTTTGGTTAATTTTTTACAAATTAAAATATTTATTCAGCATCTGCTAAGTACCAGTCACTATGCTAAGTAATGGGGATGCTAAGATGGCTATGTCCCTGCTGCAGGGAACTTGGAGTTTTGTTGCAAAAACAGCATTTTGTTGCATACAATATAAGATGCTATGAGAGAGATGAGCCCGAATGAGGAAGTATCTGAATCAAGGGACTGGTCTGTAAAGGCTTGTTGGTTTGCGCCTGATGCTGAATTGTGATTAACTGGCCAATGAAAGGAATGGGGGAAGGATTCTAAATAAAGAGTGGGCTGGGCACAGTGGCTCACACCTGTAATCCTAGTACTCTGGGAGGCTGAGACAGGAGGGTTGATTCAGGCCAAGAGTTTGAGACCAGCCTGAGCAATAAGTGAGACCCCTGTCTCCACAAAAACTATAAAAATACTAGCCAGGCATGGTGGTGCATGCCTGTAGTCCCAGATACTCGGGAGGCTGAGGCAGAAGGATTGCTTGAGCCCAGGAGTTGGAGGCTGCAGTGAGCTATGATGATAATACTGCACTTTAGACCCAGCCACAGAGAGAGACTCTGTCTCCAAATAAATAAATAAACATACCTAGAAATACATGTAAGGAGGTGAAAAAAAAATAAACCAGAGAGTATTTAGAAGTCTGGTGTATGAAAACTAGTAGAAATTGTCATCAAAATGTCATGTTTCCCTAAGTCCTAAGGGAATGTGGGCCTCTCAAGAGCAGACTAGGATAATAGGTATTTAATAATAAACAATCGTTGAATGAATGAAGGAATTATGATAAATACAGCTTACTGTGCTTTTCTGTCCATGTTTTGGAAGGAGAATGAACTCATTATATTTCATTATATTAATATCTAGCAATTTTTAGATCATGTAATTAGCAAAACAATATAAAATGAGTAAGAAACTGTTCTTGCACTGAGGAGATAAGTCTTGTAAGGGGAAACAAATGGAGACAAATCATTGTACTTCAGCATATATTTATAACAAATATTTGTAAGGGACATCATCTCTTATATTGATTGGTTAGATCCCTGAAAAGTGGTGGGAATTAGAATGCTCACATTGAAATTATTTGATTGACAGCATATAAGAGAAAACATAGTAGGTCATTAAGAAATGGCAGTCATGTCCTTTTTGCTCTATCACATGGATATTATATAAATACTGTGAAGAAAAGTGTGTGCTTAATAAACAAAAAAGTAAATGGCAGTTCTGTCAAGGTGTAGGCATCAGTATATAAAAATCTTTTGTACATGTAATCTTTGAATAACATCATGATTTTCCCCAAATCTCTATACTACTTGAAATTGTTATTTATTTAAGGGTTTTTTTAGGGAACAGGCTTTTATATATATGTGTGTGTGTGTGTGTGTGTGTGTGTGTATATATATATATATTTTTTTTTTTTTTTTTTTTTTTGAGACAGAGTCTCACTCTGTTGCCCAGGCTAGAGAGTGCCATGGCGTCAGCCTAGTTCACAGCAACCTTAAATTCTTGGGCTCAGGTGATCCTCCTGCCTCAGCCTCCCGAGTAGCTGGTAGTACAGGCATGTGCCACCATGCCCGGCTAATTTTCTTTCTATATATTTTTAGTTAGCCAATTAATTTCTTTCTATTTTTAACAGAGGCAGGGGTCTCACTCTTGCTCAGGCTGGTTTTGAACTCCTGACCTTGAAGGATCCTCCTGCCTCGGCCTTCCAGAGTGCTAGGATTACAGGTGTGAGCCACCATGCCGGGCCCTAAAAAATATTATTAAAGAAGCTTTATGTTATTAATGTAATGGAAGGCTAGCATCACATACCCTTAAATAGAAGGCAATTTAAATATCAAAACAAAGCAATGTTATTGAAACCTAGCTAGCTATTGTTTGCAGAAGGTGCTGAGTTTGAGGACTATTATCCTTTATTAAAAAGAGACCTTAGCAAATGTTAGAGAAGTGCTGTAAACAAATAAGTGCCTTACATGGATTTCCTCCATGATATGAGTAGGACTGAAAGAGACTTGAAAATGGAGTAACTTTCCCACTAAATGTTGTTTAGTGTCATAAGGAAGGAGGGGATGTACTCTGTTGGCAGGAGTAGTCTCCCAAGAGCTTCACACAGGGAAGAGATTTGGGAGCTGGGCCTTAAAAGATAAGTCTGAGTTCACTGGAAGATATGGACCTTCCAGGCATATATAGTAGCATTTGCAAATGTTGGAGACTTTAGGATATAGTATGGCAGTGACACCTGATTTAGAGAAATGGAGAAACAGTGGGAGATAAGGTAGGAGATGTAAAAGAGGGACCTCACAGTTGAAGGCTTGATGCTGTGTAGTAGATCACAGGTGTTATCTTGTAGGCAGTGGAGAACAGTGTGGCAAGATTTGTGCCTTGGGAAAATTGTTCAGCAACAGCAAGGAGAGACCAGAAAGGAGACTATTGAGGTGGTAAGGACCTTAACTAAATAGTGTGGGACTGACTGGGAGGAAGATGATAATCCTGAGTATTCCCTAACCTTTCCAATAGAGAACTATTTTAATCCTTTGCTCTCAAATTGGAAGAAGGCAGATGATATACTACTGACAATGATGATACTGGTTATTATTTTACTATCTGGGCTCACCTGCCCACAGAAAATCCCAATTAGCTGCAGAGAGAAAAAGGTGACCAAGATGTTCTGGAACCATTTGGGGAGTCTGGGTCTATATAGAGAAGCATGGAATGTTCATGTTTTTTTTTTTTTTTTTTTTTTTTTTTTGAGACAGTCTCACTCTGTTGCCTGGGATATAGTGCAGTGGCATGAATATAGCTCACTGCAACCAGCAATTCCTGGCCTCACGAGACCCTCCTGCCTCAGCCTCCTGAGTACCTGGGACTACAGGCACACCCAGCTAATTTTTAAATGTTTTGTAGAGATGGAGTCTCCCTGTGTTGCCTAGGCTGCTCTTGAGCTCCTGTCCTTAAGTGTTGCTCCTGCCTTGACCTCCCAAAGTGCTGGGATTACAGACATGAGCCACCACTCCCAGCCTAGACTTTTT